CACACATGCACAGACACTCCCAAAGGCTGTCCTCCACACATACACTAAGGCACAGGCATGCATTAATTATGGCACGACTATGCACACAAACGCATATACAAATAAACAAACGCAATAAAAAATTTTTAAGGAGCTGGAGGGATGGCTCAGTGTTAAGAGCTGCTCTTCCACAGGTCCTGAATTCAATTCCCAGCAACCACATGGTGGCTCACAACCATCTGTAATGAGATCTGGTGCCCTCTTCTGATGTGTGGGCATACATGGAGGCAGAATGTTGTATCCATAATAAATAAATAAATCAAAAAAATTTTTTAAAAAGAAGTACATAGCAAGGTATAGCACAAGGTGGGTCTGTCAGGGCCAACCTCGTCCATCCCATCCTGCCCGACTCATACCTGAAGTGCACTATGGTTCATCTGAAACTGCAGGATTGCCTCACAGAGGTTCCAAAATGTGTATTCTGGCCACAGAACAGGCTGGAACACCAGGCAGGAATGAGAGGTCTGGTAAAAATAAGGAGTAGGAGTTAGTCACAGAATTGACTGCTGGAATTGCACTGCTGGTCAGTCCTCCAATGGAGGGCAGGCTGCATGGGAAAAGACCTAAAACAAGATGGCACAGCTTTCCAGAGGCCTGGATGTTTCTGCCATCAGCCCATTTCCCTCACTGTTGGGAGAAGGACCATGAGGCAATGAGATCACCTGCCTGTGGCACGGCAGAACCAGATTAGGTAAATGTTTATACCAGGTCTTTTCCTGTTTTTCTTTTTGTTTGAGAGAAACTCTCACTGTGCAGCAATGGCTGGACCAGAATTCATCATGTAGAATTCAGGCTGTCCTGGAACTCACACTGATCTGCCTGCAGCCTAAGGTCTAGGCCACTATACCAGCTTCACCATGTCCCTAAAAGCCAATTTTAAGAGTCTGAAATGACATCTGGATTGTGGTATTGGCTCGTGGAGGTCATCTGAGATGCACACAACCTGATAAAGTCAGCGGAACAAATGGTAGCTGCTCTTGTTATTTTAAGTAGCAACAGTGTGACACCACGTTTCTGGTTCTGGAGCCAAACCGCCTGGAACTACCATTACCACAGAACTGGCTGAGTTATTTAACCTCTCTGGGACTTAGCTTCAAGTGTAAAGGAAACACCAAGAGTCTGGTTTTATGAACTATGAAGATTAAATGTGCATGAATGAAAGCTCAGACAGCAGAAACATGAACTATCATGACTACAGTTGAGCTATCCTCAGTCCCAAATACTCCTGACAGCCAAGGCTTACTGTCTACTGCATTAAACAATCTAAATGCCTCACAGGGGATAACTTGTTTGCTATTCTAGACCAATGGCACCTTCCCAATAGCTGCTACCAAGACACCAAGTACTTTCTCTGGAATACGTACACCCTTCCCCCCAAACACATACACGGGGTTTCTCTGTAGCCCTGGCTGTCCTGGAACTTGCTCTACTGTAGACCAGGCTGGCCTCAAACTCATAGTGATCCACCTGCCTCTGCCTCCCGAGTGCTGGGATTAAAGGCGTGCGCCACCACCTGTCAGAAAGTGCCTTTGATTTGTTGTTAAACTGTGAGTCTCTGTGTGAAACAGATAAGCTCAAGTGTCTCCCCCTCCCTACGGCTGCGGCTGCGATGACTTGCTCAGAGTCCAGACTCGTCCAACAGTTTCCCATGTGCAGAGAGCAGCAATCACTGCTGAGTTCATCCAGCACACAGGACTCAAGCGACTCTTCTGAGCAAACAGTCAGCTTTTGTGGATCACTGTCCACTGCTAAATCTCCTTTTTAAAGACTTGGGATTGTTTCATCGGGTAAGTCCTCTTCTTTGCCAGTATGACTCTCTGTCTTTTTCTTTCTCATCTTCTAATTCCTTCCCTCTCTCTTCCCTTTTGTCCTCTCCAAAAAGTTTCAGGGATCAAATCAGTGTATTGAGCATGCTCGGCAAGCAGTGTAACAACGAGCTGCATACCTAGCCCCACTGCAGTTTCTTAAATCTCAGCTCAATGTAAACTTTTAAAATGTGATCTGAGTAAATGGCTACAGAACCATTAAGTACACTGTATCTCCTTAAAGATAGCCAAAGACTAAACAAAAGCATTTTCAGTAGCTAGCTGTCAGTTTGTGTGTGTCTGTGTGTACAGGTCAGAGGTCAATCTTGGCTATTGTTCCTCAGACATGGGCTCTTTCTCTGGGCAGGGCCTTGCAGATCAGGCAAGGCTGGCTGGCCAGGGCTCCTTCTGTCTTCACTTTCCAAGCACTAGAATTTTGAGTGTGCTCCATCACAGCAGGCTTTTTTAAGTGTGCAGGCTCAAATTCAGGTTGTCATGCTTATGCACCAAGGATTATCAAATGCACTATCTTCCTAGCCCCTCACTTTTAAAAGATCAATCCAATAAAATTTCTGGACTTTGACACATGAGATATTTCCAAGCTGTCTCTCTTAACCTTTTCTTTTCTGTTTTTTTTAGTTTTTGCTTTTTTTTTTTTTTTTTGAGACAAGATCATTCTGTGTAGCCCTGGCTGTCCTGAAACTCCTTCTGTAGACCAGGCTGGCCTCAAACTCAGAGATTTGCCTGCCTCTCTCTTCCTAGTGGTGGGATTAAAGGTATGCACCATAATGCAGAGATTTTTAAACAACCAACAGTCCTAATTGAATGTGAATTTTTAGGGACTACCTATGCTGGGATAACTGAGCAAAAAGACAACAGTAATCCTGAGAGTTTGGATATAGTGTGAAGTCTCAGGAAATAAGCCTGCAGAGATGTAACCTATCTTCTGAAGAGGGGACTAATAACAGAAAGGTAAGGTTCTTGCCATGCTAGAGTGACTGCCAGGTTAACCAAGGTTTCAAGGGCCCATTCCTTGAAAAGGAGCATATGTGAAGCTTCCATTAGGGTAGGATGGCTTTGTTTTCTCTTTAGGACAAAAGCCCTGAATGTCAGAGAGACAGAACCACATCATATGCCCAGCGTCTGGTACAGAAAGAAAAGTACATGCTACCAAGTCCAGCCTAGAGGGACTGCTCTAGATGTTAGCCCTCTGCCCCTGCTCACACATGGAGCTCAATATGAATGAATCACTGTCATTCAGGGTTTGGGTACAGTTCTAGGGTTCAGTCTAACACCCAAATAACATGCTCCAAAACGACCCACCTGCCAGAGTAAGAAGTCACTCAGCCGCACTTCTCCAGAGGTCCGTATCAAGATGTCAGGATGAGGAGAGTGGTTGCTATAGAGGCACTTATCGAGCAGAGTCTCAGAGACATCACTAGGTGATCAGGAAACAGAAGCACACATCTCTTTCTGTAGTACTCTCTTGGTGAACTTCCATACACAGTCTCCCAGTTTATAGGCCATCATCAAATGCATTTGCCAGTAGATCTCCAACCCCAAGAATGACTCTAAATCTAAACAATCACATACAATCCTTTTTCTGGGGGGTGGGGCATTACTGGGGATAGAACTCAGGGCCAGGCAAGTGTTCTAACACTATAGTACATCATCCTATGCCCTATGAAGGATATTCATAACCTGGTTTTATAGATACAGAAAAGTGAGGCTCAGAGATGAATAATTTGCCCAAATGCATTTACCTACAGGCCTAAAACCAGATGTGTTCACTAGACTGTTGTTCTCAATTGACGTTTTGCTTTTAAAAGGCACCCTGTGACTTAGCAGTGTGAGGAAATGCTATGTAACTGGGTTTTGTTCTTTTTTTTTTCTTTTTAAGAAAATTTAAGCTTTATTTCTGTGCGAGTATTGCTCCCGCCAACATGGTGAACGACCTGCTGGATGTTTTGCAAGAAATGTGGCAAGCTCTGACCCCACAAAGTGACACAGGACAAAATGGGCAAGGATACTTTGTATGCCCAGGGCTAAAACTCCAAAAAAGGTTGTGCTGAGACTGGAGTGTGTTGAGCCCAACTGCAGATAAAAAGAAGATACTGGCTAAGGAGAGATGCAAGTACTTTGAACTGGGAGGTACTAAGAAAAGAAAGGGCCAAGTGATCTGATTCTAAACTGATTTTGTTAGGAAGATAATAAAATCCTGAGCTTTTACACAAAAAAAAAGAAAGAAAGAAAAGAAAAGAAAAGGAAAAAAAATTAAGGCCAGGCAATAGTGGCACACACCTTTAATCCCAGCACTCAAAGGCAAAGGCAGGTAGATCTCTGTGAGTTCGAGGCCAGCATGGTCTACAGAGCAAGTTCCAGAATAGGCAGGGCTACACAGAAACCTTGTCTCGAAAAACCAAAAAAAAAAAAAAAAATAACTCATTAGTTGAGTGCTTTGTGCTATATTTTTTATTTTTTCTTTTTTTATTTTTTACCCTAAGAGATGTTTGTATTAGCTATATTTTTCCAAACCACAGAGGAAAACATATTTTCTGTATTATCACAAAGCAAACAATATTAAATTATGACTAGGCAGTAAGAAAGGGTCCTGAGTAGTTTTCCCCTTAACCAAGTTTTGCATAGACTTTGTATCCTTGGGAAACTCTCAGACAAGATTCACATAGGGCATCAAAAGATATCTGTAACACAAAGGATGAATTAGGGCTTGGGGCAAAGCCAGGAATGACACAGCGGGGGTTATGGCTAGCTAAGGTAGCTTGCTAACACTCTGGCACCGGCTGGGCAGGACTCTCTGTTACAGAGGGTATTACTCTACAACCACTAAACATGGGACCATTCTTAGTATATGATTGCTTGGGAGAGAAGTACCAAAGGTGAAAGTGGATTCCCACCTTCATACTCATGGAGACATGCTACCTTCTTATATAGCCAGAGTTTACTCAGGTAGCAATGTACATCAGCTGCTAAAAATTCTCAAAGCCTTTTTGTGGTGGGTTACATTTGCATATATGAACCTAACTCTGCTTAGGTAAGCCTCATTCATCAGTTGTATTAAGTTGGGAACAAATATATTTCTTAACTAAAAAAGAAAAAAAAAAAAGAAGGGTCCTAGGTTCAGACTGCCCTGGAATCACATACTGTTGTCTTGACTACATGGTCCTCACGCCCTAACCAAGGTATTTAAGACCTGTATAATCCACATGATTACTCAGCTCCCTTATCTTTCAAATAAGTGCATTCGCCCTATCTACCATAGGTTATAGACTAAGAGTCAAATGAAATGACCTGAGTGTACCTTGGAACTATAAAGTACCTAAACAAATAAGAAATAGTAATAACATTATTTCTAGCCTCATTGCCTGGTTGTGTGACTTTGGATAGCCACTCAGAATCTGAGTTTAAATCTCTCACACGTTGCTGCTACCTGCTTCAAAGCTATGGGTAGAATTTACATAGGAAAGGAGGGAAGGCTAAGGGAAAAGATAAAACTGACCAAATGGAAACCAAGCATCTTTAGATTACATTTAAGACAAATCCATTCCCAAACTGGCTGTATTCACCAAAATAAAACAGACGTGAGGGTTGGAATGGTAGAATACTTATCTAGCATATTTAAGGTTCTAGATTTGACCCCCAGCAAATAGGAAGACAAAAAATAAAACAAAACAAGCAGTCCTATCAACCCTGGTAACACCAGTGTGAACGGGCAGCTCCAGCCCCAGCGCCAGAGGAGGGGATGAGGATGCAAACAACAGTTAAGCTCAACGATTTCACCGTTTTTGTTTTGTTGTTTGACAGGGCTTCTCTGTGTAGCCCTGGCTGTCCTGGAACTCACAGAGATCTGTCTGCCTCTGCCTCCTGAATGCGTGATTAAAGGCGTGCGTTACCATGCTGGCTGGATCTCACCATTTGTAATAATGAGAAATTAGAATCATCCCTTCAGCCTGTTCGCTCCTTTCACTGTTAGATTCCTTTGTCCACTTCAGCCTTCCTATAAGGCAGTCATTATTCCAAACTGAAAGACCACAAGGCAGGTTTGCCATAGAAAAAGTACTCTTTCTGCTTTTGTGTTCTCCTCTTTAAAATGAAGATAAGGGCTAGGAAGATGGCTCAGTATGGGAAATTGTTGCTGATGACTGGAGGCTGGCTCTCCAGAATCCTGTACAAACCAGATACAGTAAGTCAAGTTTCTGTATGGGGAGAGGTAGACACCAGCAGAGACCCCATCTCGAGTAAGGTGGAGAGGCGAGGAGCCACATCTGGAGGCTGTCCTGACCTTCACTCATGCACTGCGGTGTGCAGGAAACTGCCCCCACACATAAATTAAACAGATAAATAAAATAAGATAAAAACAATATATACATTATAGAATCTAGGGAATAAAAGTATGCAATGAGTATGGCAGCAAATGCCTATAACTTCAGCATTCAGGAGATTGCAGTAGGAGGATCAAGAAATTTAGGCAGTGCTCTCTGAAGGGCACAAATTTTAAAACTGGAACAATGCCGGGTGGTGGTGCATGCCTTTAAACCCAGCACTTGGGAGGCAGAGGCAAGTGGATATCTGAGTTCGAGGCCATCCTGGTCTACAGAGTGAGGTCCAGGACAGCCAGAGCTGTTACACAGAGAAACTCTGTCTTGAAAAACCAAATAAATAACAACAACAACAAAAAAACTCCGCAACACAGAAAATTCAAATGGCCCTCGCACTTACTCAGTAAACAGTCATATTATATTACTTATACACAGAGGATAGAGGACCGCAGGAGGCCAAGCAGCCTGTTCAAAGTAACTCCCTGACAGTTTACTGACCAACCCTGAGGGTCAACCTTATTCCTTCCTCTCTAATTTCAAACTAACAAACAACTAGTCAATTATTTTGTTTTGTTCTTTGTTTTCTGAGATAGGATTTCTCTGTGTGCCCTAGCTGTTCTGGAACTCACTTTGTAGTCCAGGCTGGCTTTAAATTCAGAGATCCATCTGCTTCTGTCTCCCAAGTGCTGAGATTAAAAGTGTATGCCACTACCAGCTACCACCTGTTAATTTTCTTTCTTAAAAATAAATAAATAAATAAATAAAAGGTCTTTATTTTAAAGAAAAAAGGAGTTGGATAATAGCTAGTAGTACCAAGAGAACAGAAAATCTAGCTATTTGGCTTAACCTCATTTTAATAACGCTGACATAAAAGGAGACTTGTCTCAATTTGGAGTAAAGAGTACAGCCTAGGCCCTAATGAGCTCAGTATAAGCTGAGAATCAAGCTGCAGAAGGTGTTGGGCTGAGATGTCGGTCTCGACCCTGGTGATTCTATCTACCCGGTAACATGACAGTCTCATAGAGGCAGATTATAAAATGCTGGAGTCAGGAAGACGGTTAGGAAACACTTCCTGGGAGGTGGACAAGATGCAAGAGTGGACACTGAAGCACAGGGTGAGGTTAGAGCTGTACCGGGGTCAGATCAGAGTTCCCAGGAGCAAATACATATTAAATCTGCCTGCTAGGTTAGAGTTTTCCTTCTAGCATAGATATTTTCCACTATCACTTCAATTATTATTGTATACATATAAGACTAGTCAAACCATGAATCATAAAGCATACTATAATGAACAACTATGAAATTACTCCTAAGCTAATTACCAATAACTTCCCTCTACATATGTATGTTCTCATGTTTTCTCTGTCTCTCTGCGGCTAGGAAGTACAAGAAATTGAACCCAGGAACTTGCACATACTAGGGTCAAACATATCCCAACTACTGTATGTTCCTCTCCTGCCCTAACAGCTGGACTGCCTCCTAGACCCGTCCACTTACTCGATGTTTCAGTTTCCCCCACTAGCCAATCTCTAATCTACAACTTAATTAGCATTGCCATGCCAACCTGTGCCTACCTCCTTCTCAATCTCTACCAACAAATTTCATCTTCTGGGTTCTGTAACACAGACTGCCCATTTTTCTTCAAAGTGCCAATCTGTCCGACAGGCTCACAGACAGTTTCTCAGAACTCCACCCTTGGCCTTCTACTCCCTCTTCCTCTCCGTACCCCATCAACCTTCCTGCTGGAGTACTTCTGGTCCTGACCCCCCCTGGACCACTGATCCGACATCTTTGTTGTGTGATAAGCCCAGAACCAAACTTGGCTCTGTTCCTTAAATGGGATCCTGTCTAGGGCTCCCAAGCACAGTGGAGGGCACCAATGTCCACTGTTAAAATCCATGGGTCAATGTGGCTACTTGGTGTTTGGGGTATTAAAATGGCCCAAAGAGGTAGATCCATTCCACCTTGAACAAAGGTCAGAGAGTTCAAGGTTGTGACCGGAGGTCTGACCTAGGGAGTTCCTGCCTACAGGATACTTGGCCTAAGGTGTAGAAGCTGCACGCCCTGCCTAAACAAACAGAATATTTAACTCAGGGTAACAGCTGCTTGATGCTTCAGGTATTGAAGAGATATTGCTCTGTTTGTTCTTTGTATCATACTAAAGCAGTCTGTTGCCCTCTTCCCCCCCCTTTCTGGATTAGGATATATAAGCATATGGAAAATAAATGCGGAAGAATTCAATATTCACTGATTGCCCTCCTGGTTCTATTCTATGTCTCTATCTATTTCTTTTGTATCTCTGTTTTGTGTGCCTGGTGTTTCTAATCCACATGGCCCCTATCCTGGAACGTGCAAACCCTGTCGAGGTTGGACCCCAACAGATGCCACTCCAATGTGGGAACCTAACAGACCAGACACCCTGGACAGACAAACCCTTTCTCCAGAGCAAGTCCACTGAGTTCTGATTCTTCCCACAGTACAGGCTGCTTTGTCCATTCCAGCATCACCACAATCCAAGCTCCCTTTGAATGGCACCATTATTCAAGAGTTGCTATGACCAAGGCTCACCTCACTCATAGCTCTGCCTTGCCCCTAGTTACTGCTGCTTCTTCCCTCTTAGGTCACTTTTCCAGGAGGAAGGCCTTCTCTACCAAGTCTATTCCATTTATCATAAATCCTTGCAGTACCATGACCAGCGCCTTTGTGATGTGTCACCATTATGTGTGCTAATTTGTATCTTGATTCACGTCTGTTTTCTTTACTAGAGCTCCAAACACAGAAAAAAGTAGATCTTTGTATTCTCACCACATATCTCCTTATATAGAGCAATGTGCTTACCTAAAGCTGGTATTACAGAAATGAATAAATAAAAGGTTGAGCCAGGCATAGTAGCACACATTCTTAATCCTGGCAAAAGGGAGTAAGAGGCAGGCAGACCTGTTGATCTAAACAGCAAGTTCCAACCAGCCAGGTGCATACTGAGACCTTG